CTAAGTTTGAATTCAAGAACAACCTACTTTATTTCAAATGACTCTTACATGTGTCAAAAGGAAAAGTACGTTTACGTGTTCTTCAAGCATGTCACGACTTTCTAACTGTAGGACATTTTGGATACAACAAGACTCTAGAGCTAATATCTAGAGATTTTTGGTGGTTGCAAATGTGGAATGCTGAAAAAGACTTTGTTCAATCATGTGACATTTGTTCAAGATCTAAAACTCCTCGGCATCGACCTTATGATCTTCTTCAACCATTACCTATTCCAAAACAACCATAGTCTTCTATTTCTATGAATTTTATTATAGATCTTCTAGTCTCAAAATTATATGATTCTATATTTGTGATAGTAAATTATTTTACTAAAATGGTACATTTTTTACTATACACAAAATTTATCACACATGAAGAAACTGCTAAGCTTTTCTTTGACAATATCTATCAATATTATGGATTGCCAAAAGATATTATATTGAATAAGGGGACTCAATTTATATTAAGATTTTTGAGAATTCTTTTTAAGATTGTAAGGAAAGATGTAAAGCTTTTTTTGGCCTTTCATCATCAAATTGATGGATAGACAAAGCATGTAAATCAAGTTTTAGAGCAATACTTAACAAGTATCATCAATTATCAACAAGACGATTGGAGAACCCTCTTACCATTGGTAGAGTTTGTTAATAATAATATGATATATTCTTCTATGCAACAAACATCTTTTTTGCCAATTATAGTTATCATCTATAACTTGATACTTTTGACTTTTTAAAAGTTGATAATCTTGCGACAGAAGGTTTGGCAAATCATTTGTCAGAGCTACATGCAACAATAAAGGTGCAATTAAAGAAAGCTCAAGAACAACAAAAGATCAATGTGGATGCCTATCAAAAAAAATAACCACAATTTAATGTACATGGTAAGATATGGTTGCTTTATTGTAATATCAAGACTATTTATTCTTGTGATAAGTTGGACTACCACAGACTTGAACCTTTTTTTTATTTGTAGACAAATTAATCGAGTTGCTTATTGGTTACATCTATCGGATGCAATGAAGATCCATCCCATCTTCCACGTGTCTCTTTTTGAACCATACAAGACTATGAACATACCAAAAAGAAGATAAGCTCTACCTCCTCCTATAGAAGTAGAAAATAATAAAGAGTTTGAAGTAGAAGAAGTTTTAGATTCAAGGCAATGCCAAAATAAATTGGAATATCTTGTCTATTGGTGCAATCATGATATTAGTGAACGCACATAAGAGTTAATAAAAAATCTTATAAATATAGCAAAGGCAATGGAAGCTTTTTATTGATGACATCCATCTAAATCAAGATAAAAAATATAAAGTCTTTGCTATGAAAGAAACATAATTCAAAGAATATTGCATTCCACCTTCTATTTTTTTTTGTAGCTTCAAGAACAGATACGTGGAAGATGGGATGGATCTTCATTGCATCCGGCATGTGACATTGCGATTGTCACAACCTCCAAGTTGACAAAATCAAGATGAATATCCTCAAGAACAACATACCTTTCTTTGAATAGATGACAAGATACAATGTATTTGATATCACTACCTTGGAAGAGACTCTTGATGTTTGGTGATTTTATTAGAGGTAGGAACAAATTTTGATGGTATTCCAAATATTTTATTTGAAGGAAGTTACAAAGGCGACAACAACAACTAAGTAACAAGGTGGTCTTCATGCCTTAGTATGAGACACTATCAATGGTTAAGAGGGCCCATCAATTATCTTTGAAGAGAACAAAGATTGGAGTATGTAGCAAATATAATTCGCTGCATCTTAGATTTTTTCAACATATGAAGACCGCTTTTCATGGAAATGGGTCCTAGAAGGGAGAGTAATGTCACAGACATATACATATAAATTAATAATTTTTTATATGATTTAGATAATAATAGATAAAAATAAGCCAATTCCATAATATCTTCTATATAAGCTTCCTAAAAGCTTCATAGATACTGCTTTGACTTTATAGATATCTTTAATTGACTTTTTAGGTTAGAAATGTGGTAAAAAAATTGGCCATATATCACATATATTAATAGCTTAAAGAACAAGTTAATTATATAGCCCACATGTAGTAAACTTGCTTTGTAAGCTAAGGTATGTGTCTTGTAAAGTCAACATATGTTAGAAGTCTTATAGAACATCGCCACATAGTTCTTAGTTAAATAGTACATATAGAAACAAGAGTGAAGCCCTCTTCACTCTTGTCAATTTCTTTCTTGCTTCTAATCTAGATTTAAGAGTCTCTAATTTGCTTATCATTTGGCAATAGCCATTCTAGTTTTTTTTTTTAATATACATACTACTTTATTTCTATTTGGTCACTTTTCTTTTGATATAGATTTTCCAAGTTTATGTATCTTGTTTTAGTTTATGTCTTTGATACTTTGTTGCATTTATAAGATTCTTTGCTAGCTCCTATGTGCATTCATTAATATCATATCTATACCAATGAATAAGATATTCTAACTTCTTTTAGTACCACTTGGAACCTAAGACTTCTTCCACCTTGAGCTTTTGATTATTATCCACTTCTATAAGAAAAGGTGTCTTTTGTCTTCTTCTCAAGATAATCATTATCTTATATGGCTCAGAAAGATATATGTGAAATACAGGATAGATCTTCATAGACTCATGTAGATATAATTAATAAGCAATAGGATTGATTTATTTACTAATAAAAAGATGTCCAAGTCTACAATAGTTCAACTTGTTACAAGAACAAATAGTCTTGATATTGTGACAAAGTAACCACACCTTGTCACTTATATTGAATTATAATTATTCCTTGTGATAGGCATGTGCATTAATTTTTTGTTGTTCTTGAATTTTTTTTAACTATGCCTTCATTATTACATGTAGCTTTGATAAATGAATTGTTAAATATTTTGCCATAGGATTATCAACTTTTGAGAAGTCAAAAGTATTAAGTCATGGATGATAACTATAGTTGGTGAAGAAAAGTGTTTGTTGAGTGGAAGAATGTATTGAACTATTGTATGCAAACTCTACAAATAGTAAAAGAATTGTTCAATCATCTTGATGATAGTTGATGATACACCTCAGATACTACTCCAAAACTTGATATACTTGTTTTTATTTACCTATTAATTTATGGATGAAAAGCTAAAGAGAGCTTTATATCCACCTTTAAAATCTTGAAAAGGATTCTCTAAAATCTTGAAAGAAATTGAGTCCCTTTATCTAATATAATAACTTTAGATAATTTGTGATAGCAATAGAAGTTGTTAAGAAAAAGCTTAGTCATTTCTTCACCTATGATAGATTTTGTACATAGTACAAAATCAGCTATGTTTGTAAAACGATCTACTACTACAAATATAGAATAATACAAACTTGAGACTAGAAGATCTGTAATAAAATCTATAGAAATATAAGACCATGGTTGTTCTAGAATAGGTAGTGGCTGAAGAAGTCTAGAAAGTTGATGGTGAGGAGTTTTGGATCTTGAACAAATATTATATGATTGTACAAAGTCTTTGGTTTCTTTCCACATTTGATACCACTAAAATCTCTTGATATTAGCTCCAAGGTCTTCTTGTATCCAAAATATTTGATTATTGAAAAGTCATGACGAGTTTGAAGAACATATACTGATGCCCTATCTTTTGGAATGTATAATCATCCCTCAAAATAGAGTAGGTTGTTTTTGAACTTGAAAGTATTATGAGACTTAGAAGAATTATTCTTAATATCATAGACAAGAGGATCAAAAGACATACCTGATTGAATTTGCTTGATAAACGTTATATCAACAATTAATATTGATTGTATTGCTCAAAGGTGAAAACGTTCTGACTTCAAGAGAATCATTTTTAATTAATTAAAAGATGCATCTCTTTCTTTTTGCGCAAGATAAGAATGTCTAAAAAAGACATCCAACAAACCTTGTTGTTTTTTGAGTGGATAAGTAATCTTGAAATCAAATCTTAATAAGAACATGCTCCAACGAATTTTGCAATGATTTAAAAAACGTACTGATATAAAATACTTGAGGTTCTTAAAATCTGTATACATGGTGACTAGACTCGAGGCACCTTCTAAATAATGACGCCATTTTTGAAATGAATTCGTGATTGCAAAGAGCTCTTTATTATAGATCTCATAATTAATCTTGATTGCTAAAAAAATTCTAGAATAAAAAGCTACCGAATGGAGTATGTCATCTGCTCCGATTTCTGATAATACTACACTGAAGACAAAGTTTGATGCATTTGTTTTCATAAAAAATGGCTTAGAAAAGTCAATATAATATAAGATTCGTATAAAAGCAAACTCATTTTTTAAAGTATCAAATGATGCTTTGGTTTCTTTACTGTACACAAGTTTGTTCTTACAAGTCAAATGTATAAGTAGAGCTACAATTTGAAAAAAATTCTTAATGAAGATCCGATAGTAATTGACAAAGCTTAAAAAGCATTGCATATCCTCTGTTATTTCTACAATCTTTCAATCTATAACAGTCTGGACTTTTTTTGAATCCATCATTATTCGTTCAATAAAAATGATGTATCCTAAGAATTCACCTTTAGTAGTATGGAATATACACTTTTTAACTTTGCATTTAAACTTACATCTCTAAGTTTTTATAACACATTTTTTAAAAGATATTATCAAATTATTTTACTTCTATCTATTTTTACTTATTCATATTATCTACATAATTATTGGTATAAATATATATATATATATATATATATATATATCTATGACAACATATATCAATATGAGGTATATGTAACAACTTAGGATGTATTTAATATAAAATAATAATAGCCTATTACTTATTTTACTACCTTTGTATCAATTATTTTTAACTTTCAATTCTACTTTGCAACAAATAGCAACAAAATTATGTTAACATGTTTGTTTTTTGGTTTCCAATTCACAATGTATTTGTTTTTTTTTTTCATGGCAATAATCATATCTTACAATCATTCAATCTACAAAAACGAATTTTTAATAAAAAAACAAAAAAGCATAGTAAGCGATAAAAGGGCAATAGATGCGTAGATGGACGAACGAAGCATCAAATTCTAAAATGGTGCTGGGGAGTGGATTCGTCGATAGGGTACAAACAGCATCACTGCTTTTGAGTTAGTCCAGGTGTGAGCTCTCGTAGTCCTGCAAGTGCATCCCCCGCACAGTAGTCCCTGCAGCAAAATCGAACGGGAGGCCCCAATCCCACACACGCGCCGTCTTCCATCGCACAATCACGCCCTGCATTCTCAAATCGTCCACGTTCTCCAGAAACGTCGCCGACATCCGGTGCGGCACCATCCCCTCGCACCCTGGCCGGTAATCGTGGTGTCCCCCGCTGTAATTCGTCGTTCTCTCCAGCGTTACATTCACATTCCTGAACTTCATCCCTTTGAGATTCCTCCCCCCTAAGCTCGATAGGAAGATGCCGTTCTCTGAGGTGGTTGTGATGTTTATGTAATGGATGTTCTGGATGGAGCCAACCACCGTTTTGGGTGTGCGAGGACATGCCGTTACGTATATCGGCTCCGCTAGCCCCCACCACGAGGGGTGGTAGTAGCGCGTGCTCATCTGGATGTTGGCGTATGTGACGTTGTCGACGTTGCCTTCATGAGTGCCATGGAGAGAAGACCCGATTAGCGGGGTGGAGAAAAATAATAAATAAATAATTGGGGTGATTAGGGTTTGGGATCAGAGGAATGGGTGGAGTGCGCACCTTCGTCTCGAAGCTGGATCCCAAGTCCTCTGTGCGAGTCCACGATCACGAGATGCTCGAAGTGGAGATTCCGGAGGTCGTGGTTTGTCCTGCTGCCCAGTTTCACCGCGCATGACTTGGTCCGGATCCAGGAGTGCGTCACGGTGAGGTTGCAGAGAGGACCGTCCGCTGTTTTAGGGCAAATGGCGTCGTCTCCGGTGTCGATATGGCAGTGAGTGATGAGTGTGTTGTTGGAGGATTCGATGTCGATGCCGTCGGTGTTTGGAGAGTTGAAGTCTCCGTGTATGGACACGTTGTGGATGGAGATCGTGTCGGAGTTGACGAGATGCAAGCTGCAGGCTCATGAATTTCACATGGATTCACCCTCAGCAATCGTTTATTGGAATTTGCATCATCTACAGCATGGTTTTAGGCTCATACTCAAATCAACTGATGCTTTTGCTAGATCACAATAATCCGGCTTAAGAAAGACGAAGAGTGATATTGGCAAGCATGAACCGAGTTAGTATCACTACGTTGATTACCACCAATATGCTGGTTCCTGGAGACGGACGTTCCAGATGTGTACATTCTTGCAGTTGATGAAGCCCACCAACCTCGGTCGACACTCGTCTCCTAAACAGTCTCCCGTCACATTCCAACTCACCATTATATTCTTCTCCTCCTTGAATTCCACGACGAAATTTAGTCCCTGGCCTGTAACGATTCCACCGCCTGTGAGTTCCACATTGTCGGCGCCCTCAGCCAAAATGGTGTACCATCTTGCCGACTCGGGGGCAAAATCCTCCTGGCGTGTGCTGCCCATGATTGTTGCTCCTTCCTCCACCCAAAGCGTGATGTTGCTCCTCAAGTGGATTGTGCCTGTCAGGTAAGTGCCTGGGGGTATGTGCACAACTCCCCCGCCTTGCTCAGCGCAATGATCGATGCAAGATTGGATGGGGATCGTATCGTAGACCCTGCCATTCCCCGTGGCGCCGAATCTTGTCACTCTGCAAACTCGCCGGCCATTCTCGGCCACCTTCAATGCCTGAAAGTCTGGCCGAGAGCTGGAAACTGGTACTGCTATCATCAAAACCCCCAAAACCAACCCCACAAATTTGCACACGAGTCCTGGCGGAGGATTTTCGCCATTTGAATGCCCCATTCCACAATCAAATCCACTGATTAAGGTACCCAGACTTAAAGATCTCAACATCACGACCTTACAGAAACAATTTCAGACATAGAGATCTCCAAAGCGGTGTCAACCAGTAGAAAAGGCCGGGCACAGTCCATGGAAGCGGAAAAGTCCCGTTCTGGGGGGTGTTCCGCGGAAGCACATGGAAGCGATAAGAACAAGCGTTACTTTGAAGACAAGGCACCAGAAAAAGTGAACAAGAAGTCACAGCATCGCAACCTGGTGCAGTCTGTCTATATGACTAAAATCCACCACACAAGCGTTACGTGACATGGTGGTCAGTCTGATGTTTACAGGATATAATATCGTAAAAGTCGGGAATGTGATCAGATCAGACTCCTGACTTGGAGACCCAAAAGTTTCGACAAAAGTAATATGGAGGTGGTGGAAGAGATGATGATTGGTGTTTCCTTCAGAGCACAATATTCTTCACACGACAAGTTACAATTTACATTAGGATAGAGATGTTTTTCATGGAATCTTTACGAATAAGGGAAGTTCATTGACGATATCAAGACCTGTCCAAAATAGCAGTAGATCAGGACTGCACTTTTATTAGGACCAATAACTGAGCATGATTCCTTTTGACGGACTGAAAACCCAATTGGGTCCATTAAGAGGGTTTGCTGATCTTTCCATGGGGAGCTCGTGGAGCAATTGGGTTAAGCTTCCTTGTGGCAACCAACATAGAACTAGGCAAGTTACTCCGAAGACATTGAGACATGATGAAGGAAACTGGGTCCAGATGTATTAGAGTCAAGTAATCCTTTGTTCTGTACTCGCAAATTTTCTCCATACCGTTCCTTGGCTTTGTAGATCCTGTTCAAGATCAAACATCTCTTAGATGCTCTATGATTTGAAGAGTTCATGCGGGGATATAGGTCACGTGGACGTGGTAACCGGCACTTAGGATTCGGCCAATGTAGGCTTTGATATCTCACTGGGCTGAATTGGCGTGACGTCGAATGAATTGACATCGTCCGTGAGGTACTAACACACGCATCGTCCAAATGTACCCACAAGACCAGTACCTGAGATAATCAACGCGGTCCTGCGGTCAAGAGACCTGTTAGGGTCTTTCAGCAACAAGTTTTCAGAGAGTGATTATAAAAACTAGGGACAACATGTGTTCGGGCATGTGCACGCATTTTCACCCATCCACTCGCAAGAACGAAGAATACATGAAGCATCTGAAGGAGCATCAATATCTTCACACCTTCAAACGTGATGGTATAGTTGCGGTTGTACGATCTCCTCACGCTCACCCTATCGAATCAGTGAGTAAATCACACCCATGTTCCGGATAATTACAGGCTTGTTGCCCGTTGGCTTACGGCGGCACACTCAAATTGCCCTAATTCACCATACTCGTCTGAATTCACATTGAATAGGATCTGATCGGCCCAGAAATCAAACCTTCTCGTGACCTAATCTGGAACTACACATGAATTGGCATCGAGCAGGTGCATGTGAGGATCACTGGCAAAGTGCAAAACGTGCGCTACCTGACGTGGGCAACGGAGCACGCGAAGCTGATGAGCATAGATGGGTGGATCCGCAACGTGAAAGATGGATCCCTGGAAGCTGTGTTCTCTGGAAAGTCTGTATCAGTGGACAAGATGCTTGATATTTGCAAAACTGGGCCGAGCTACGCCCAAGTGAAACAGATTGAAGCCGAAGCATGTGATCCGCCAAGAGGGACAGGATTCCACATCCTGTCTACCCACGAGTAAAAATGACTTGCACCTTCTTCCCTAATACTCGCTGGCGCATTTGGCATTTGGCATCCACTCTCACAAAACTGGGTGTTCTTACCGGCGATCAGGACATGTGATGCTTTGGTCTGAATGAAGTTGCTACAATTGCATTCATGTGTGTTTTTATTATTGTTGCATCACGGATTTCAAACTGCAGTGCCAAGTTTGTTTATGGAGTGCTCATCATCAATCTGCAACAGCATTTCATGTTTCATGCCGACAGTTGAGGTTCAAAAAGTGCCAGTTTTGTTGTTGTTGGTGTTGTTAGTGTTGTTGTATACAGAACTAATGTGGAGTTGTGTGTGTGATTGTCTCATGATCCAGCCCAATGAAATCGCCAGCTTACAACAAGGAGGTGACATCCACATGCCTTCTCAGTTCTCTCTATCTCTCTCTCCTTTTATTTTGTATATATATATAGATATAGATATAATATCCTAGTCACTCATGCAGTGCAAAGGGTCTTGTAATTTTGTGATGAAAAGTATAATTAAATGATTCTAGCCCAAGTCATCATTTATTTGAGTAAAAGGGGGATACCCAAATATAAATAATTAATATACATGAAACAGTTTGAAAGGTAAATACATGCATTGATGATTTATATATACATACATACATACATACAGAAGTGTGTGAATGTATGTGTTTAGTTCTTTGTTCAATTATGTTGTATAAGCCATTATGTAAGACAATCCCAAAGAAACAACTTCTATAAACTCTCTTGTGATATTTGTAAACTTGGAATCCTGAGAGGCTAAGCATTTCAAAAATTGATGCTGTATGAAGTGCATACCTTGTCATTTCTTATAAGCATTGTTTATTTGTTCTTTCATATTATATTCTATCAAAAAAAATTGAATGAAGTTTTAAATTTAGTTGTGTAAGCTGCAGATCTTTATTCGCAGTATGTTTCTAATAAAATGATTTACTGTAACTCTGTCAAGTGTGTAGTTTCGTTCAAGTGAATAGAGTATTTAATGTTTTTAATTATAATAATTGGATATCTTAGTCAAACTTATTATTTGAACATACAAATGTAAAATTGTAATTAGAACAAAGAAGTATATATATAATAAAAATAAATAAATAAATAAATATATATATATATATATATTAAAATAAGTAGCAGCAAATTATTGTATGACCATAATTCGTATAGCATGTTGTCAGGAGTGACGGGGCTTTAAGATTATTTTGTATGGTATTATACAATTATTATCAGCTACTTTAAAAAAAACATTCCAAACTACTTGCAAACTCTGATTTTATTTATTTATCAGTGTTGTTGAGTTTGTGTTCATCAGAAATGTTGCGTTTGAATATTTATTACAGGAAATAAAAGGAACAAAATTAGTGACAAGGAGAGAGAGCTCAAAATTCAAGCTACCTGCTAAAAACATTCTTAATGATCATTAAATTATTATTATTATTGTTATTATTAATATTATTTATTATTATTTATTATTTGAACATTATGATAAACGTATATGTAAAGAAAGCAAAGATTTAAGCATTTGGAGTTTTGATGTTTTTCAACAAGCCAACTCTTTTAGTTTTACAAAATATATCAGAAAAGAGAAAAATATAACTATGTATATGTATATATATATATATATATATATTCAATGATCAAGAATAAGAAGTAAAATTTGAATGTGCTCACCATTTATTCATTAGATTGTCGCATCATTTAATGAGCCAATAAATCCATAATTTACCAATATTTCACTATACCAGAACTCACAGAAAATGTATAATAAAATAAATCTTCTCCAACAAACAAAAATCATCCATCTCCATTATGTTTTTTTCATTAATAAATAAACAAAGGTTTCGAAAAAACCAAGATATTATATATATTTTTATTTTTATTTCACCAACGCACGATGATTTCAATAGTAGTATCTATTGTCAAATTTGGTTGTGTTTTAAAACGTAAATGACCCAAGTATATTAAATCAGTATTTGGAATCTGCCCGGGTTCGAGATTCCACGCCGGGCCCGGGCAGATCCGTGCTCGTCCGCCCTAGACTCGGCCCGTCCTTTCGAAGTGGGACTTGTTGGTCGAAGAGGGGGTCTTCACGGCTGCGCCTAGAGCATGTTGTTGCTTTCGCGTTGCGTTGCGTATGCCCGTCTTCTTCGACTTCTTCTTCTGCGTGATCGTGCCACTGACCCAGCTGAACGCTTCATCGCTGCATTCCTCCACCCTGAAGCTGCTGCTGCTGCAGCCAATTGCGCTTCTATCAAGCCGTGTCGTCACGGGGTTAACAATCCGGTAGTCGCCATGAAGCTCGTCAGGTGTGCTGCTCACCTTCTCTTCTTTACTTTCGTCTTGCATGTTTGGATTAGGGTTTTCACGGTGGAATAATGCTCTACACCGTCATTGTGTGGGTTTATGTCAGTGATTCGAAGAGCGGGAAGTGGATTTTGGCCTATGTTGTGTAGTGTGCTTTAGCGGAGTGTTTTTGTTAGAGTGACAATGGTTGGGTTTCGTGGGGTTTTTGGGTTGGCGCAGATTTTTGATGAAACTGAACAATGAGACGGTATCGATAGAACTAAAAAATGGTACCATTGTGCACGGCACTATCACAGGTGCGTCGTCCTCGTCAGTTCGTGACCTTCTTTTTGCGCTTAAACCCAATATTAGGGTGAGGTGACTCGGAGGTCCACTCTTGTTAGCCCTTCATCCCTTTTTTTTTTTTTTTTTTTTTTTTTTTGAGTGTCCCTGCGATTAGCCAGTCGTACGTTTTGATACCCGGCTGGTGCGGGGCAGAAGTGGTTTAGTTTCGGAGGTTTTAGGTTTACACAGGGCTGGGTGCGCTGCGGAGAATTTGTTCGAGGCGGGTTCTGGATTTCTGCTGTAGAGATTGATATTGTTGGAGTTTGAGAATCATGGCCGTGGAGCTTCATTTAAAGTTTATCGAAAGGTTCATACTCAAGTAGTCTGTTGCAGTTTTTTCTTGTTTCAATGATAGCATTAGTCCGAGGTTTTCCTTCAGTATGTCCTGGTTCAACTCTAGTCCAATTTGTATCGCAGCTTCTCCTTTGAGCGCCATATAAATTTATGTGCATCAGTTCTCCTTGAATAGCATGATTGCCTGCTAGTGAAGGAATTCAGAATTTCTGATCTTGTGAGAATTCTTCTGCAGGAGTGGATATCAGCATGAACACGCATATGAAGTCCGTCAAACTCACTTTGAAGGGGAAGGTTCCTGTGGCTCTGGATCATCTCAGCATCCGTGGAAACAACATCCGATATTACATACTTCCTGACAGTTTGAATCTCGACACGCTTCTTGTGGATGATACACCTCGCGTGAAATCCAAGAAGCCTGTTGCTGGTATGTTGGTGGATTCTTTCTTGAAACCCAAGCAGCGCACCTGTTGGCTTACTTTATTCATTATGTGGTTTACTGATTTTTGATACTTAAAAAAACATCCTACCAGAATAGTCAGGGCGTGGATGCTGCATAGTTTATTTTTGTTGAAGGTTAATTTTTTCACGTATTATTTTCCTGAAAGATCTTACAATGATGAAATGCTCTTGCAGGCAAACCTGTGGGTAGAGGAAGAGGACGCGGTCGTGGCAGGGGACGTGGACGTGGGCGTTAATTTTGTATTCTAGTGCCCTTTTTAGGGTTTCCATTGTAGTTAGAGTTTCCGGTGTACGAAGATGAACCTCAAACTTGCTTTTCTATCACCTTGTGGGTGGCCGCTCCACTTTTTTTTCTCAATTTAGTAGTCCCAAGTAGGAACTAAGCGCTTGCAGGTGACAATCAACAGCCTAAAGCGGTCGAGAATCAGTAGTGGCCTGTAGTCATGTATCAAGGAAGTGCTTGGCAATGGTTCTCTAATCACGAAGCAACTTATTTAAAAAAAAAGAGACACTAGCATTTCTCAATCTTCTGTCAACTTGCAGCTTCAGTAATAATGCAATTGGCTGCAATATCAATTGGCAGTTGACCTACACTCTGGTTTCTCTTATGTTCTCTTTTTGATCACTTGGTACGATCATTTTTCGAATGTAATTTTTCGGTTCCAATCAAGTGTAGAAAAGGTTATAAACATGTTGTGGAGTAAAACTATTCTTGCTTGGATTTTCTGATGACTAGGGTTTAGGGTTGCTTGTTCAGTTTTCTTGAGTTTATTATCATTTAACCATGGAACATAGCATGGTCTGCGTAAGGATCAGAATAAGATAACATTTGAGTTTTCCACAACCAGATTTTTTGACATGCGTGTAGTCATAAAGTTGTTTAAAAGGACTTCCGAATATATTGCTTACGATTGGTAGTAAATAATAGACATTGTCGTGATGTGAGCCAACGTTTACCAGGAAACTGTTGATCTACAACTAAAGCAGCGTTCCGGCTATTTCCCATACGGTTCAACAGCCTCTGGTGACCATAGCGGAGCCTTGTAATACCTGCAACAGACATGGAGTAAGAGGATTCTGCCATAATTCGCGAGCGGTCTAGGATGCGGTCCTCGCATGGTGATCTTGATTTTGGCCATCACTTTGATAATATATAGTGACGAAAATGAGAAGCATTAGCAATTTGCTTCTGAGAGATGGCAACGGGTTTATGAACTTAATTTGATTCCAAACGTGTACATTCGGTGATTGCTAAACTGGTATCGCCGATTATTTGAGTCCAATCGACAGTGGAGATTACTTATCTAAGCTTGCAATTATTGCTGATGTTGGTCACTACTCATACAGGTTCTTCATTTCATCTTGTACATTTCTAGGAATAACTTAAGGGCTAGTTCCTAAATAAAGCTGTCCGATCAGCTTGTAGCTGAAGAAGCTTTTTTTCCCGAAAAGACTAACACACTGAATTGGGAGAGCTTTGTGTGGGCATCTTGCTTACTAAAATCGTGGGAGCAAAAATTCATCAAGATTAGACAGGTTGGCAGAGATTACTACCGTCGCCTGCACCCCATCTTGAGACGAAGAACAACAAAACAGAGGAATCGATATAGGATAACAAAACCTGCCATGATTCCCAGGTTGGTCCATTTGTTGTCTGCACTTCCCTGGAGGCCTCCTTGCTCCAGCACTTGACTTCCCGTGAGACTGCACTGCCCTGCCCCGTAAAGATCACTGAAGCATTTGTCGCTGACGTGAGAGTATTCATTAATCAAGAGGGCTTCCAGGGGGTATTTATAGAGGGACAAGTAGTGTGCCCAGAGCCAGTACTTCGGCAAATTATCCCTAGAAATGAAGAACCCTGAATAGAGGAAGAAAGCGCCCAATAAACCCATGACGATGGTATATCCCAGTTGGTAATTCGGTACAATGGCACTGAATAGAGCCACAAAGGAGTAGGCCGTGACGAGGAGGACCCAAATCGTCAGGATGAAGAAGAGGAAAGCGAAGGGCTGGGGTGCAAGGCCCACCAACCAGTAGAGGGGTGCGGAGAAGAGCACGGCATTGAAAAGTAAGAAGGGGAGGAATATCAAGGTATTGGCCACTATGTAGGACATCATCCGGTACGCACCTCTCGATGTCTCACGAGACATGATACGACATTCCTCGAGGAAACAGGGGAGGACTTCTATTGATGATGATAGAAGGAGAGTGACAATGAAAGCCAGAAGACCATAGCGCTCGGACATTCCTCGGGTGCCGTGTCCCATGTTTGCATACACGCTACCCAGACAGATGCCTCCAATCAGTGAATGCAGCGTGCGTGCTTTTAAGAGCTGCTTCGTCCTGTAAACATTTATGAAGAACCGGTGTACCAAAACGGCGATTTCTTGCCAGCTTGAGTTAGCGAAAGAAATGTCGGACGGATTGGTACACAATTTGGTCGACTTTGGAAGCAGTACATGCGCACTGTCTAAATCTGAGCTACCGTAGTGTTGCAGTTCTGTGTTGCCCGGAGGTCTGGCAGTTGCAGGATTTTCGAACGTGCAACAGTTACAATCTTCATCCAGTTGGTCAATGATGTCAATCGCGTACTCTAGCGGATTGCTTTGCTCTGGAATCGTGTGACCTGAAGCAGCAAGTCGAACCGAGAGCAGATCCAGAGGTCCGTGATGAATTACCTTTCCGCCAGCTAGCAACAAAATGGAGTTCAGGAGCTCAAGAATTCGATAGCTTGGTTGATGTATGCTGAGAATAATGGTGCGATTGTGGGATATTGCCATTCTGCTCAACATCGATACCACATGCAGAGCGGAACCACTGTCCAATCCAGACGTGGGTTCATCGAGTATCAATACGGCAGGATCGTGGATGACATCTACGCCGATGGAAACACGGCGCCTCTCTCCACCAGAAAGTCCTCGAAAATTATCGTTGCCGACGCGAGATTTCGCAACATGGAGCAAGCCAAGCTCTTCCATGGTACTCTGCACTCGCAGCTTCTTCTCGGCCATAGAAATATACGAAGAGATGCGAAGACGAGCGCTGTACATCAAGGTCTCTTCGACAGTCAACATTGGAAATAGCGCATCATCTTGCATTACGTAACCTGAGATCCTTCGAAATTGCTGACGCTCCATTTGTTGCTGATTGACCAACATGCTGCTTGGGCGGCTGCTTGGCCTGAGTTCACATGCCAGGACCTCCAGAAGCGTGGATTTCCCCGCTCCACTTGGCCCAGCCACTCCGAGAATCTCCCCTGGCCTTGCTTTCATGTTAATTCGATTTAGCACATACTTCGATGAGTCTATTTTCTCAATCGAATCGTCATGTTTATTGCCACAGCAGCCCCACCATCCCGGACTTGCAGATTTTCGTGGCTTTGTAATCTTGTATGACATGTCCCGAAGCTCAATCTCATAGCTCTTTGTCCTTGACAGCGGAGGTGTGGTTGACTTGAGCGCTGCCTCTACAGCCAGCTCCGAGATCTTCCATTCCGGGTATGAAAAATCGTAGTGAATTTTGCTCACTTTTTGAGATGGAAATGTCCGAGTTGTGACGATTCCATGCTTGTTGATTGAATACAGGTGGCCATGACAGCACGCTTTGATGAAACAGGCGCTTGTAAGATTGGTTACTTCACCGCCGGTGCTCTCCATCTGATTTGTCAATGCGTTGTTATGATCCATTTTCAAACACTTCGAGGAATGTTCTTCTTGTTAACCGAAGTGGACTTGAAAAATGCTCAACTGTCTGACATTGGCAGCAGCTCAAATCTAAGACCTTGCAAACGCCAAAACACAAGCGAAAGGGGATGGCTCAAATGCTTTGTTCTTATGATCAGGCCATTACCCATTTCAAGTGTAAGGTGCAGCCGAAGTCTCCTTGACATGAACAAAAACATCTTCAAGAAACAAACTCAAGGCTGCAAACCCAATGCTTTCCATTCCGTCATCACTATCACACATAGAATGCCGCCAATTGGAAAGAAGCGCACAAGACCCTTTGTGGTTCCACAGTGACGTCCATCTCACACCAGTCGAGGAGAAAGGAACTTCAGGGCTGCGCTACAACTTCGGCAATCATGTTCTCCAAGGTCATAATTTCATCTATTCTGCAGTCTCAATAAATTCTTTTAAGCGCTCTGCCATCTGCATCTATCCGCTTGAAGTTCATGAAATATGGCCTTCACCTGGTTTATTCATGAGTGTTGCACCAAACGTCGCATTGTTAGAACTTTTAGAACTGTTGAACTGCACCAAGAGCAACTTGAAACTTCGAGAAACAGGGAACAGAGTGAGCGGTGCTCGCCTGTTCAAAAACTACCGGACATTGCTCTAAAACTACATGAAATAGAAAGGAAAACGAAATACTCTTACCTGCATTCGAAAGGTCCTGTCGACAAAGGTCAAGAACATGACACGAGGATGTTCATTTTATGCACAAGAGGATGGTAATGCAGCTCTGCAATTGTTGTTGCAAGAAGAGACCCCAGTCCTCTGGGAATTGCAGGCAGTTGGGCACCAGGGAAGTTGAGTGGCCATTAGTAAGTGCCAAATATCCCAGTGATCTGCAACTTGAAGGGAGTAAGAGAGGACCAGCCTGTGTCCTAGTTGCAGGGCAGAAAGCACCCCACGTGCACACCCCATTACGTCGTTTTAACTCATTAGGTTGTCGTGTTGCTGTCACAGGATCCAAGAACTCAGGACTGCATCTGCATCGACTATAATTTAAAATTCATCTAGCTAATACAATCTCGACTCTATCATTATGTCGAAATTTGATTTTAGTCCTGTTGAAGTAAATCTCCTCGTAATTCCCTTCATCCACACATCTCCCTGTAATTTTGTGTTGAATTCTAGAGATTGAGGCAAGCAACAGAGCAACACTGGTGGACTGATCGGTGAAAATGTTGATCTTGTTACTGTCACGACTCCCTAATGATGTACAAGACTCGGATGTTTGTAAAGTAATAACAAGCTAACCTATCAGTTCTCCAAATCAGACACTCCAATCACTTTTGAGTCACAAGGAACAGCCCTACGCCTCAATGACATCAGCGTGAAATATCCGGACACTCGGCTTGCTTATCAACTGCAAACTCTACAAGTCCACTGTTGATGTATGTATAAACCAAAACTTCTGAATCCATTCTTATCAATAATTTTCCATTTTTAAAGCAAAATGTGAACGGATCTCTCTATGCCATGCTCACGGTGAGGATCCACAACTTGGCATCAGATTCAGGTGTTAAGAGTTAAGTCAAAACCAACAATGAAGTATACGATACTTGCTACAGCACTGCTTAATTAGTGCCCAACTCACTTACTTCAAGATTTTAGGGGCAGAATCGATGATTAAGTACTGGTACTTTGGAAACTTAACTCTCCTTCACATGATTTCCCCTTCTGCGTACACAGTCCACTCCAAGTCGACGATCATTCCATCTCAGAAGAGAGGATATGCTTTTGGTGTGCCTTGGAGAAATGCTTCTCAAGCTCCACAACTAATTGCCTTCGGCCACCATCATTTCTGCACAGGCTGTTACAACCATGTGCTTCTCCTGTATCCACAGGAACCAAACAATTCAATAAAAATCAGAGTTCAGAAGCCGCACAAACTATTACTCTGCTATAATGCTATCATGCCTGCTATTGCATTGAGTACGTACAGTAAAATTCTTGTTCTGACGTGAAGACAAACCAAAGATACACTGATATATCGTGTATTACTGTAATGATAGTGCCTTAATTCTTTGGTCGCCCTGCACACACTTCAGACCACACGAACTTGCAGAACTCTGCAAGAGTTCCAACACTGTTGATGAATCAAGTTGTGAACTCTTCCGCTCCTTAATCTACAAATGCGGTTGTCAGAATTCTCGGTTGAGGTTCCGGGATTTTGCAGGCAGTTGGTGCACCCTATTTTACAATTGTTCTTGCATTATTATTATGTAATATTTTTTTTATTCTTATTTGCATTTTCTATTTTTTTGGATATATTTGAGTTTAATATAGAGTCTCTTTCAAATCAAGTTTTTTTTTTTTTTTTTTTTTTTTTTTCCTTTTTTTTTTTCTTTTCTTTTCTTTTCTTCTAATAGAATTTTTCATGATCTATTAATCCTTTTCATGATCTATTAATCCTTAAAGTTTCTTACAAGCCAAAACAACTTTTGGTTGTTTTAGGCATTCTACATGAAGTATCAAACTTTGATATTTTTAATGATTTTGATTTTTTTGAGAGTAGAAAATCTTATTAAAGTCTCATTAATGTTTTTTAGGAAAAAAAAATCTTGGAATTAGTTATGGTTTTTTTTTAAGATTTGGATCCCAATTGGATCAATTTGGGAAGAGGCTTGCACCAATCCTATGATGGCTATAATTGTGGAAAATTTTGGAGGTTATGTAACAACAATACTACAAGGCAACCTAGTGCATAACAAAGTTGCCCAATGCATTTTAGAACTAATGGTCATGTATGACCTTCTAAAATCCATATCAATTTAGTTTTTATAATATATATATATATATATATATAATTAATCCTTCTAAAACATGTAAAAGTACTTCTACCTATCATCTATTTTTTAGACAAAGTTTTTATTTAAAAACAATATGGTTTTTTGAAACAATTTCTTTGTTACTAGATTTTTGACTACCTACTTCTTGAAAATAAATTAGTTGAAGGTGTTATAAATGTCTCCTTGCACTAAACTTTTGCATGTATGTGCTCAACTTTATTATGTTTTTGAAAAACAATTCTTCTAAATTTCTTCAAGTCACAAGTAGGAATTGGGCCTAGCATAAGTTTTACTATGTCTTTTAGGCAACACCAAAATAATCTATTCTTTCAACTTTGAATATTACAATCTTCTATATGCAATAAACTCAATACTTAAGATTTGATAGACTAATTCCAATATAAATTAGAAATAAGAACTTACAACTGAAAGTGTTGAAAATGATAAAAAAAAGATTTCAAAGTCATTTTCTTGAAATGGTTGTTTTTTGGCAGTTTTAGAATTTAGAAGGCAAGTTAATATAAGAAATTTTAGGAATTAATCTAAATTCAACTATTTTATTTAAACTCTTTTTCTGTACTATTCCAATTATCTAAATTTTTTTATTATTTTTTTTTATTTTCATATGATTCAAAAGCATGAGAAAATTATTAAAGATCATAATACTTTACATGCTTGAACTAGTTTAATACTTCATCAAGTATTATGTTTTGAAGGTTTGAGGTTTGCCTTAGATATATCATTTTTCTATTTTCACTTAGATAATATAAATAAGTTATTTTCTAATTTGACATTTTTTGGATTATTAGACATTTTTAAAATTTACAAAAAATTCTTTGTATTATCTTTGTGGAGCAAAGAGAGAAATTAATAATTATACTTATTAGCTATTTCATCCACTTATTTATTCCAATACCTATATATCTAATAAGCCAAATCAAAATTAAAATCAAAATTTCTTTAGTTTTATTCAAAAGTATTAGTAACTATATATTATAGGTTGATTGAAGCATTTTATTCTATTTTAAGATTTGAATTAAATCAATATATATTATATTTTTTTTCCTTTTATAATTTTTTAAAGTATGAATATTTTTTTATAAGAATTACTTGAGAAAAAATCCAAGAATTTATATTTAAAAAAAATCTTGGTTATATATTTCTTCTCTTAGAAACCTTGCTATGTATTCATTGCAAATGAATACATTTCTTTTTAATCTATGTTATTTAATTCAATGATTTTAAGAAACTTATTAAAATTAAAGATTCTTAGGAGTATCTTTAGGAAATATATGGCCTTATTTGTAAAGTAGATGTTTTAGATCTAATTATATTCTTTCTTAAAAAGATTCCTATTTAATCTCCTTGCCTTATATTTTGGTATATAGAATAAATAAAAAAAACCATTAATTTCTATTTTCATACTAAAATTTAATTTAAACTTATAAAAAAAATTCTAACATCATAGAAAAAATATCTTTATTTATTTTAGTTGAATTTACAATCACATGAACTTCCATATGTTATGATTTGAAGTAAGTAAGTTGAACATATGAATTTGTTTTCTCTATATTTGTAGTCTACTTAATTCATTATTATACAAATATTTAACTTATTGAATTTCAAAGATATCTTATAAAATTAAAAATAAATAAAAATAAATTGTGGCTATTTGAATTTATATTAATTTTACAACATAGAAAAGATTAGGAATAAAACCAAAATTGTGAAACAATTCATATTTATGGTCTTTGGCTTGTAATTTCTAAGCCTTACATATCTTTCTTAATATCTTAGATCTTATTGCATATTTTAACTAAACTTTATAATCCAATGTTTATTTACTTTTTGCTTATTGAAATCTCTAAAATACTATATTAGCTAAGATCTATGTTATATAAAAGATTTAAGAGAGGCTCCTTATAACTAATACTTTAAGCATCCAATAAATAGCTAATATTTTGAGAGTTTATTTGGATCAATAAGATTAAACATCTTATATTAAATGCATTGATAAGCCACAAACTAAGATATCATAACTTCCATGTTTGAGTCTTTGTCTTTGCAAACCAAGTTCCTACATAGATGTTTTATGGCTATTATTGATTATATAGAGACATTTTAAATTATTTTGAAGTAATTAACATATAATAGAATAATATAGTTGACAAATTAATTTTACTTGCAAGATTAAGCTATATGGTGCATAAATATTTGAACTCATTTTCCACCCTTTGTATCAAGAAGTTGTAGATAATAATTGCATTAAGGTATAAGATAAAAGAAATATACTTAGTTTATATTTTTCTACATAAGTCCATTAATACTTGGTAGTCTAATTTAATTTAAGTTGTAGAAAATACTATATTTCTTTAGATTTTCTTTAAGTAATTTATAAAACTATACTATTGTTTAATTTACTAATTATAATTATAATTAAATCTATATTAGTTTCTGAGCCATCTAAAAAAAATTGTAAATCATCAGCATAAGAGCTAAGAATCAATTACTCTTAGATCCTTAGAGGTAATAAACCTTTGATAATCTTTTGTTAAAAGAGTATTTTGGGATGAAAATTAAGAGTTTTTTCAAGTAGTAGAAATAAACATATTTCTATAGAATTTTTTTTCTTTAATTCACTTTTAAATTGAAAGCTTCAAATATAAATTATGATTAGTATTTACTTACGCTTCTATCCTTGATAATACAAATATTGTCATTTTAATAAAACTGGAGCCAAATCAAATTGATCAATGATCCTAAAAATAAAGTTAAATTTTATACAATCATATGCCTTAATGATATTAAGCTTAAAGAAGATAATGATTTTTTTTGAAGTTTCAGCCCAATTTATGGATCAAATCTATATTATCTAAAATATGCTTACGAGACAAAAATATTTTTTGGTCTTAGTCAATGAAATCCAACAAATAATACTTTTGATTATATTGTAACTTTAGACAAGATTGTTTTAATAGTATTTAGTAAAGTGATAATCTAATAGTTTTTTGTATACTTTTTAATCTTTAATTAAATTTCAATAAAGTTATTTTTTAATT